TTGGTTGTGTGGTTTGTTATTTCATTGGTTGGCTGGTTGTGTGGGATGTTATTTCATTGGCTGGTTGGTTGTGTGGTTTGTTATTTCATTGGTTGGCTGGTTGTGTGGGATGTTATTTCATTGGCTGGTTGGTTGTGTGGTTTGTTATTTCATTGGTTGGCTGGTTGTGTGGGATGTTATTTCATTGGCTGGTTGGTTGTGTGGTTTGTTATTTCATTGGTTGGCTGGTTGTGTGGGATGTTATTTCATTGGCTGGTTGGTTGTGTGGTTTGTTATTTCATTGGTTGGCTGGTTGTGTGGGATGTTATTTCATTGGCTGGTTGGTTGTGTGGTTTGTTATTTCATTGGTTGGCTGGTTGTGTGGGATGTTATTTCATTGGCTGGTTGGTTGTGTGGTTTGTTATTTCATTGGTTGGCTGGTTGTGTGGGATGTTATTTCATTGGCTGGTTGGTTGTGTGGTTTGTTATTTCATTGGTTGGCTGGTTGTGTGGGATGTTATTTCATTGGCTGGTTGGTTGTGTGGTTTGTTATTTCATTGGTTGGCTGGTTGTGTGGGATGTTATTTCATTGGCTGGTTGGTTGTGTGGTTTGTTATTTCATTGGTTGGCTGGTTGTGTGGGATGTTATTTCATTGGCTGGTTGGTTGTGTGGTTTGTTATTTCATTGGTTGGCTGGTTGTGTGGGATGTTATTTCATTGGCTGGTTGGTTGTGTGGTTTGTTATTTCATTGGTTGGCTGGTTGTGTGGGATGTTATTTCATTGGCTGGTTGGTTGTGTGGTTTGTTATTTCATTGGTTGGCTGGTTGTGTGGGATGTTATTTCATTGGCTGGTTGGTTGTGTGGTTTGTTATTTCATTGGTTGGCTGGTTGTGTGGGATGTTATTTCATTGGCTGGTTGGTTGTGTGGTTTGTTATTTCATTGGTTGGCTGGTTGTGTGGGATGTTATTTCATTGGCTGGTTGGTTGTGTGGGATGTTATTTCATAGGCTGGTTGGTTGTGTGGTTCGTTGTTATTTCATTGGCTGGTTGGCTGTGTGGTTTGTCATTTGATTGGTTAGTTAGATTAGTGGTTTGTCATTATGAGTTGTTATTCTGAGCAATATTTTATTATGAATGATAATTATGATTATTATATTATAATTAAATAATTTTCCTGAATCACCCTTCAATGTTGTCAGTTTCGGTGTCGTCTTTGGCACTTTTAGGTGGCTGTTACATAAAAAATTATTAATAAAAACAATAATAATATTGTTAATAATAATAATAGTAATAACTAATAATAATAATAAAAATAGTAATAATAACAATACAAATAATAATATTATTTGACCTTGATTGCTTGACCTTTGCCCGTGATGGCTATATCACACTTGACGTAACCTTTTGGCCCGGCGTCCAGCTCTTTGGGGTCCATAAGGACGGCCCATTTGTGGTAAAACTGGTGGTCTGGTCATGGTGGTGAAGATAGTGATGATTATGAAGATGGAGATGATGATGATGATGAAGATAGTTGTGGTGATGATGATGGCGATGATGATGAAGATAGTGGTGATGAAGATGGCGATGATG